TTCTTCTCTCAAGTATTTGAGACTTCGATGCAGTTCTTCAGAAAGAGAAAATTACAGCAATGGTAAGTTCAATATACTTTATATTTTGGGGGTTATTTCGTAGATCATGTAATTATCAAAGAATCAACCCCTTCGAATATAAATCAACCTATTATAATTAAAACTTTTCTTGTTGCAATATAAGATCAAGCAACCAATTTAACCTTATTACTGTATTACGAGAAAAAGCAGAGGGAGTAAATAATTTTAAAATACAGTTACAATAAAACATTTTTGAGAAAAAAACACGAGTGCAAGAATTTTTGGAGTGAAGACAAGATAACATAGTTCCAACTTTCACTGATTCTATGAATGCAAAAACAGAGTCCATGGAAAACAATATAAAAGCCAGAAGCACAACTTGAGATTTTATCAATAATTTCTGATGTTTATAAAAATGAAAATCTCGGTTTCATCTCAGATAAATCTACTTACCATAGTGTAACTTGAAAATCTATTACATCAAAACATTTGTCATTTGTTCCTTCCTAATAAGTTTAGCATTACTAAATGTATTGAGATAGATATTAATAGAGCTACTCAACCCAAGTAATTCAAATGGAAAAAATTAAGGGCATGCTTGGTACACCTTACCACAGAAGCCATAATATTACCACAGAAGTCCATTGTGATTGTGTTTCAATGTTTAATAGCTTGACGAAACAGAAGCCATAATATTATTCAATGTTTCATTATGGAATACACCTTTCTTTCTTTTTTTTTATTTATTTATTTTTTCTGTGGGCATCATTTCAATGTCGAATAGCTTTGACGAAGCATATTAATATTTTATACGAAAAATCATTATGTAGGCCATGAAAGACTTTTCGGATTAACCAAGCTGGAAGTTCTTGAATTGTGGGGTACTGATCGGTTTAGCGATAACGAATTTCTATCGATGCTAAGTGAGCCTCCTTTCCACAAGCGCAGAATATTGTTTTTAGGTCATCGGACCTTTTAATATCTTTACTTGTATTTTTCGACAGATCTGAATGATTTTATCAATTTGAAGGAACTCGACCTAAGTGTAAATAAACTTAGAAGCTTGGGTACCATTTATGGTATATCATCTCATTTCGTTCTTCATCCTCATTCATTTTCTTTCATTACTTCACTTGTGCCTTATTATGTATGAACAAAAGCATTCATGTTATTTTGCTCCCAGGCCTCTCCCTTTCACTAAATAGTAGTTTGTTGTTTATTAGATATTATATTGTAACTTATTGTGGATTTGATTATAAAAACAGGTCTAAAAAATTTGAAGGTCCTTAATTTACGTTATAATTACTTCAATAATAGCATTTTCTCCTCACTTCACGGGCTATCATCACTCAAGTCTCTAGATCTCTCTTGGAATGAACTAAAAGGAACCATCCAAATGAAAGGTTAGTTCCGCAGTTTAGAACTCCTTATTTTCTT